GTAACAGCAGAGGGAAGTTGGAAACACCATCAGTGTGTTTTTATATATAAGAAGTAAATATAAGATAATGAGGATAATAACAGGAAAAAGAAGCATTTACCATGTGTGGGGGCATGCAGGTGTGTGTATACCTGTGTGTTATTTATATGTGTGTGTGTGTGTGTGTGTGTGCTTGGTGCACAGGTGCAGGGTTTGCAGTTTTAATCCTGTGATTAAGAGGTGCTACATGAGCATCCTGTCGCTGCAGCTCTGATCCTCCATCTGCGTTCTGACTCACTCACACACACACACACACACACACACACACACACGTATATTCAAAACGTCAACAATGCGAAACCCATCAGTTTTTCTCCGTCTATTTTCGTCAGTCAGCAGTGTCCAAATTGTTTTTGTGCGTTTATCAGCTGTTTGCAGCTCTCAGCCTCAGTCTGGATGTTTGGTCTCATTTACATAGAGCGCTGTGATGTTAGCGCGAAGAGCTGAATAATATTTGACTCTGAACTAGCTGTTAAACTCAGGTTTTCTCTTTTTTTTCCTGTTTCAGAATAATCACCCTCATATAAGCACGACTGGTCCTTGTATAGTTAAAATATAGTTAATATAGTTATATTTCATAAACCAAAATATATTTTATGTGTGACTAAATAAAAGCCCTCTTTAAGGAAAACAGTTAATGAGGCAGCTAATGTAACAACGTTTTAGTAAAACTAACAACTTTTGTTGCGTTGATAAAAATATTAAAAAGAAGTTATATATAAATTATTTCAAAGGATATTTTGAAGTTGAAAGTAACGATGCTCACATATGACAGACATGGTTATGATAAAAAAAAGATACTTACTTATACTTTTAGGAAACTGGAAGTTTAATTGTGATTAAACTGGAAATATGGAAGTTAGAAAGAAGACGTGAGCTGAGCTAAAGCCACGGTCAGGCAGGGTTAAGCTTTGAAGCAGTGATAGAAGTAAAGGAAAGTTGGGATGCTGAAAGGTAATGAGTGGATCAGCAGGCAGGTTGGAGTAATTCACATCCTGTTTCTCTCACAGCTGCTGGTTTAGGCTCAAGAAAAAACACAAAAAACACTTTGGCTGGTGATCGTATCCAAATGTGTGTATTTGACCATAAAATGTAACTGTGCTAATCAGCTGTGCTTTTATGCCGCATACCAAGTTTGAGCCATAAAGTTATGCAAATAAAATAATGTCAGTGTAAATAAAGGTGAGTGCACAGTGAACCACAGCTTCCTGTTAAATAAGAGCCCGAAGAAATCATAAAGATGGCCGAGGATGCGAGCGCATCAGCCGCTGCAGCGGTGGTTTCTGTGTGCAGGGAGAGTTTAAATACCAGCGCTGGAAGGCAGCGTGCTGGTCGTCCTCAAAAAGATTCACTGTTTACACAACCACGTGTTGAAAAACAGACGGCGAGAGCCTCTGACTAACGAGGATTAGCCATGAAAAGCGGTGTTTAAGTGACTCACGGGTGACGGCGAGCGTGAAGGTTGCTGCCTGTACGAGCGCTGTCCAGGGAGGAAACTGAAAGATTAAGCCTGGCAAAGAGTCGGGCTTTACATGAGGCAGTAACTTGTGTTTTTATGGATCATTTAAGGAGTCACTCCATAGCTTTATGTGCTGCTGTCCAGGCCCATGTCCTCTTTAATGATTGAACCTTTGATATGTTTGAAAGAAGCATTTTATTCATAGAAAAATATCCAAGCTGAGGCTCACAGCTTTAGTACTTGTTACGTTTCATTACTTGTTTTGGACACATTTCAGGCACTGAAGAGATCTCTAAAGTCCTCAGTGAAAGGCAGTAATACATCTTATATGGTACTTTTACTCAAGTAGAGTATCTGATTACCTTTTTCCACGTCTATTACACGTCCCTCCCGACTCCAGCGTGTGACTTTCCGATGAGAAAGAGGCAGAGAGGAGAGAGGGAGAGGTGTGATCCGGGGAGGAGAGGTGAGAACGGTTCAAATAAAGATAGAAAAGGCGAGAGAATCAGAGGGAACGAGGGAGGAAAGTAGGGAGGGAGCGAGGCGAGGATTTCTCAGAGGGAGAGAGAGGTAGGCGCAGAGAGGGAGAGGCAGAGGAGGAAGTGTCAGGGACGAGCAGAAGCCGGCGCCGGCTCCAGTCGATGCTCGGGAGCAATGTTAGCACCGCAGAGCCTGATCCGCAGCCGGGACTACAGGATCCATAATGCACTGGGACACCCCGCAGCGAGCAGGTCACCCACCTGGGAGCTGCAGGTATGAGGAGCAGGAGGAGGTGGGTGGAAATAAAGAGGATGGAGCACAGAGCAGAGCAGGGAGGATGATGGGAAAGTGGAAAGAGGTTGGAAATGCGGGGTGGGATTGTTTACCTGTTGTCCGGTTTACTGCATGAGTATCCCGAGGAAGGGCGGGCTCTTCAGGAGGAGACGAAGGCTGAAGGATGGATGATGGCGCTGAGCACAAACAGACATGCAGTGAGGCAACGTTAGTCAGCCAGCTACAGCGGGAAGCAGGTATCGGGGGTGGCTCCACGACAACTCTGTGTGTCTGTGTGTGTGTTGTGATGTCCTGCTGCGAGGATGACGAACGCTCAGGAAGCCTGCTCAACCTGTTCTGTGATTCAGGGAGATGTGAAGGAGCCGGGACGAAAGGGAACTCTGATGGGAGCTGTTGTGTTTTTAATCCCCGACCCTTTCGAAATAAAACTCAGAAAAAACAAGTCAGAACTTGTTCCACTGATAGTGTCAGTGTAGCTGAGACATGAGGTCTGTCAGTGCCTGATTGGTGCTGCTGCACAGGGGTGTTTCCTGGATGTGTTTGAATGAACCAAGGCCAGGCGGCGGGCTCTCAGGATATCAGTGTTTGATCAGAAGTAAGTAAAGTGTAGAAAATTGCCTCAGACGGGGTTTGAAAGAGGCTGTTATGGAGGCGACCGAGCACATTACCACAAGTGGTTCGCATATGCAGTCATGAGAAAGAGGAAGTGCATCCTCTTTCAAATCTCGGGTTTCATGTATCAGGACATAATACAAAAACATCATCTGGTCGTTAACAGCTTGTAAAGTTATCTAAATGATTAATTAAAAATAGAGCTAAAATCCAGAAGCGCTGTGTGAAAACTGAGCACACCCCACAGTTGGACCGCCTTTAGTGGCAACAACTTGAAGTAATCATTTTCTGTGTGACTTTGACAACCTCACACATTGTTGTGGAGGAATTTTGGCCCACAGTTCAGTGAAGTTTGTGAACACTTGTTTACTCACAGCTGTCTTAAAGTCCCACCGCAGCGTTTCAGTCGGGCTGAGGTCTGGACTTTGACTGGGCTCTGCTGCCGTAGATTTGCTGCTGTCCTCATTCTCCTCAAGCTTTAGCTGTGAGACACGTGGCCTCACATTCGACTCCAGAATAGAGTTCAGTGGAGTTCACGGTCAACTCAGTGTCTGCAGAACAAGCCCAAACCTCCACCGCTGTGCTGACAGCTGCTATGATGTGTTTGTTCTCGTCTGTCCAAACCACTTTGTTCCACAAGTCTTTTGATTTCTTCAGATGCAGCTTTGCAAAGCTCAGCTGTGCTGCCATGTTCTTGGTAGAGACGGGAGCCTTTCTGCTGGGATGAACTCTAACACTTAACTGAGATCTGTAGAGTCTGACGAGTATTGCACGATCTTGTCCTTGGGGTGAATTTGCTGGGACGTCCGCTCCCAGATTGGCAGCGTGTTTTGAATGTTTTGCTCTTCTCACTGTAGAGTGACGGACTTCAGATTGTTAGCAGGCTTCCCTTAGCAGCCAGATGGGCAGCAACTGTGGCTTCTCAAAGTATATCTGAATGCTTCACACCTGCAAACTCCTGCTTTCATAGAGCTGCTCGCAGGGATGGTGATCAGTTATTCAATGCATTTGATTAGCAGCACCTGGCTCCTACTCACCCTCCTGATTCCTGTGAATGCAGTGAGGATTCTGCGTTTTGTTTATCTGTTTAGTACAAATATATGAACAAAAGATTTGCATTTATTTAATATTAAAAGCTGTTATATTCAGTCACACTGTTTACACGTCTGAGGCTTTTATTGTGAAAATTAAAACAAAATTAAAGCCTTCTTCATGATTTTCACACAAAAACAAACTTACTCAGGCTGCACTCTGTGCTGTATCTCAGCAGCTGCAATGCATCATGGTCTATTAAAGCTAAAGTGGGTGCAGAAATTGATCTCCTGCCTCCTGTAATGGCTGAATTTTGAGTAGAGGATAAATGCAAAGTCACCTCCGTGTATTAATGGATGTTTACTTTAGGACTTTTTCCGCTGCCAGAAAAGTTTATGGACGTCGGTCTGCACATCCATCAATAACCTGAAGCGTGCTACGGAACAAGCTATTAAAATAGCAGAACTTCACTTACCAAAACTGGAAGATAAACATCTCGGATGGCCTGTAAAGCTCAGTAATCCATATCATATGTCAGATGATGCTTTAAAAGTGCTCCAAAAGGCACCAAACAGTTGAAAGGCCCAGCTTATTGACCTCGATTAGTTGGAGGTGATGCAGAGCAGACAACCGTCCCCTAAAGCTGCCCCTGCTGGGATGCAGTCAAAATAGGCTCAGCTCCAACGCCAGTGTCCAGATAGTTGAGTTATAAATAAACTCATCGAGACCAAAGCAGTTAATCTATCCGACTGTAAACATGTTTATTTCTGCTGTAAATTTGGACATTTCAACATGGGAGCCTATGGAGACTGACTCAGGTTTGGAGCCTCAAGTGGCCACTAGAGGAACTGCAGTTTTCATTTTGCAGCTTTTTGGCTGCTATTTGGTAGAAATGGAGTATTTTTAGAGCTGTTTAACTTACAGCCAAGAATTACTGACCTCTGACCTCTTCAGACCTTAGTAATTATACCGAACTTCAATCTGTGTGTGTGTTTCAGGATGACGTCCCGATTAAGGAGATCAGCATCACTCACCACGTGAAGGAAGGGTCGGAAAAGGCCGACCCTCGGCAGTTCGAGCTGCGCAAAGTCCTGGGACAGGGCTCGTTTGGAAAGGTGCGTATGTGTGTGTTTTTATGGACCTATCATTGTGTGTGTGGGCGGGGCGGGGGGGTAAAGTGTCAGTTTTACTTCCACTCAATTCTCCTGTAACGTTTCCCTCGTGCCAGTGTTTGAGAGTGAGTTGCTATGGTGATGGCAGGCTGAGGGCCCTTCACTCTCGCACTCAGTATCATCGTCTTTATGAAAGAGCAATTAGCCTCCTGCTTGGGCTGCGAGTGTGTGTGTGTGTTTATGTTAATGTTCATGAGTGCGACCTGGATAATGGGAACAACCCAAACAAACTCTCATCCTCACACAGAAACAAACGACACTCACAGTGTGCATAACGACATCCAGCACTTACATTTAATCAGTAAAGATGATTTATTATTCTTTCTGTGTGTGTGTGTGTGTGTGTGTGCGTGTGTGTGTGTGTGTAGGTGTTTCTGGTGAGGAAGATCACAGGACCGGACGCTGGTCAGCTGTACGCCATGAAGGTGTTGAAGAAAGCCACACTGAAAGGTAGAAACAGCAGAGCCATTAAACACTAAAACCAGCAACAACACCACGGACTGTGTTTGTATATAAGAGATGGCCACGCCCACCACTTTGTCTCAAAATGCTCCAAAGGGCAATAAAACTGTCATGGAGTGTGGGTGGAGCGGACTTGAACGCAGAAAGAGACGGTGAATTTGTTTACAGTGCAAAATAATAACAGTTCAGTGTGGCGTCCTTTGGCCGTGGCGCCCCGTGGTGAATTCTCCCGGCTCCCGAAAGTGCAGTTTGGCGATGTGAAGGCAGGCGACACTCCGTGCATTCATTCCCCGCTCGTGATTCAGCTCCCGTGTTTTCCTCTCCACTTCCTGGTGCGAAAGACAAAAAGGAGTGAGAAGCTTTCTGAAATTAGAAACAACACACCATCTAAACTGTCTAATGATCCAGCGCTGACTGAAGCCTGGTCACGGCGTTAAATACATCGGCGTCAGACAGTAATAATTCACCGCAGCTGGTGTGTTGATCAATCGCCGGTGTGGAGAAAACTCAGAGCGGAGCTACTTCCGGTCGGCGCTTCCGCCTCCGGGGGAGTGCGGCTCCATCAAATTAAACACACAAATGAGCAGGTCGCCCGGCAGGTTGCATTTACTGCATTTTAGAGCGATGAGTAAATTCACTCCCGCACAGATGTAATGAAGGGAACAAATATGCTTAGATATCAAAACAGTTCTTGTAGCTGGCTGGTTACGCCTGGAGACCGAGATTGGTTGCAAAGTTCGCTTTGGTTGCTGGCAGATCGGCACAGTCTGTACTTTGTATGGAAGATTCAGCTAAAGTTTATTTATATAGCATCAAATCACAACAACAGTCTCCACGAGGTGCTTTGTATTATAAGAGAAACACAATATCACAGAGAAAACTCACCTGGTGACAGTGGGAAGGAAAAACTCCTTCAGAGAGCTGCAGACGACTCTTGCCTTCAAAGTAAAAGTTGTGCCTTGAAAAGTCACTTAAACACATTAAACGTTAACGCTCAGCACTTTTTATCCTTTTATTCATTTCTAAGTTAATTTAGCTCCATTTAAAAATTAATTTAGGAAGCTAATGTGCTGAGAGAGAGAACCGAAATAAGTTCTTTAAATGAGCTTTGACTCAAGTCAGACGCCATCTGCTGCTCCTTTCTTTAGCATCCTCTTCTTTCTTACTCATTTCTCTTTCCCCTTCTTATTTTTCTCTTTCGTGCTGCATATTTTCTTCACTCTCCTCCGTGACCCAGTTACTCCTTTGCAGCCAAAACAGAAACCGAACAACGGAGGCCGCGATTGATCTGCTGATTCTGTGTTTTCTGCTCTGTGTGCGTTTCCAGTGCGTGACCGGGTCAGGACGAAGATGGAGAGAGACATCCTGGTGGAGGTCAACCATCCCTTCATCGTCAAACTGCACTACGGTGAGTCAGCCAATGGCAGAGCTCTGTGAAGAGGAGTCACCGGCCAATCGGAGCTCGTCTTTGAGCTTTTTAAATACTAACTCAGTTTGCTTTCGCCCTCCAGCATTTCAGACGGAGGGGAAGCTCTACCTGATCCTGGATTTTCTCCGAGGAGGCGACCTCTTCACTCGTCTCTCTAAGGAGGTAACAGCAGTTTAAACCAACACAAACAGCGGGTATAGAAAGTGCCCAGCATTTCTAATCGCTATTTAAATCAGTGCATGGTGGTCCTGCACCCGTCTGAGCTGTCAGCTGCTGAGAAATAAGCCCATCCATCCATTTTCTTAACCAACTATTCAAATCGGGTCGAATGTGTGCTGGAGCCGATAGATACGTATATGATAGAATAAACTAAACCCTAAAAAGTCCGAATAAGAAATTTTAAAAAGCAAGCTGAAGAAGAAAAGACTCAGGCTTTTCATTTGTCCTGCACTTACAGCATGACTGCTGCTGTTTAAGGCTACATGGTCAAATCTGGACCTGCAGTGATTAAAAAAACACACCTGTGTTTCAGGTAATGTTCACAGAGGAAGACGTGAAGTTCTACCTGGCGGAGCTCGCGCTGGCCCTCGATCACCTCCACGGGCTCGGCATCATTTACAGAGACCTCAAACCTGAGAAGTATGCACACACACACACACACACACACACACACACACACACACACACACACACACACACACAGCCTCATGCATGTAAACAAAGCAGCGTGCATCCCGGCAGGACGATTAGGTCAGCTGCCAGGTTTCCCTCGTGGAGATCTCTAATGCAGTTAGCAAAATGGCTTTTCCAGGCCACTAATGTCTGTGTTTACGTTCAAGTCAACTCTGTTTTATTTAAACAGCGCATTTAAAACGACTGGAGTTGGCCTCGTCTGTGGAGGCAGAGAAATGCAACAGAATCGATTTTAAGACTGTCAGCTGTTCTGTTATTTGGAGGCAATAACAGAAACGCCTGCTCACCTTTGGTCTTCAGGTTAGGGGCTGTGAGCTGATCGCAGAGAGCTGGAGATCCTGACGCAGGGCTTTAAACACAAGAAGTAAAACTTTTAAATGGCAGTGCAGTTGAGCTCAGACTGCAGCGACGTCTTGTGTTTACTTTGTCGGGCAGCTGAGGCTGTGAGTCAGAGAGAGTGCAGCTGGACCATCAGAGCTACAGAAGTCTAACGGAGAGGTGATGAAGGTGAACCATCACAGCAGAGGTCAGGGAAAGTGCAAAGTTAGCAGGAATAGTCCTTTAACCAGGGGTGTCAAACATAAGGCCCGGGGGCCAGAATCGGCCCAACAAAGACTCCAGTGCGGCCCAGTGGACGGCTTTGGAAAATGTGAACGTGGGGCATAAATGCTGGACTTTGAACTGTAGCTTCATAAGTTTTACAGCTTTTCCTGCTGATAACGACCTCCACCCCCCATGGCCAGTCATACCAGAGTCATTAACCCTTTATTCACCATAGTTTGGCAGGCTTGCCTCTTTACATGACTGTAACTCTGCTACTGTTTGTTCAAAACAAAGAAGAAAAACTGTTAAATCCGAGTTACCTTCTCTGCAGGGTACACGTGCTGGCAGGTTTCTTTCATTTCTTCATCACGTAGAAAAACTGAGGCATAATGTTGGAAGTTCTTTTTTACAAATCTCAGGGAATACTTGTGTAATTAAACTTCTTTACACGGACATGAAGGCTGTGCGTGTGCCCACGATGTGAAGTGAGTTTGACGTCCCTGCTTTCAAACAAGCCTCCATGCTATAATTTAATGACGTGCCATTATGGGGAGCTGCTGTCTGCCCCACAAATCTTTAAGTCTGGTCTCCAGAATCTTGCCTGTGAAAGCTCACTCATGACATGAAGGCTGTAAGTGCACAATCACACTGAGTAATGCAGCATTTGAAACAGTCTTCTGTTGTTTCAGCATCCTGCTCGATGAGGAGGGACACATCAAGCTGACCGGTGCGTAACCTTTTTCTGTTTCCTCACGCGTACCCCTGCCGCTGTGCTCAGATACTTACTGCTGCTTTCTCTGTGTTTTTATCATGCAAAGCTGGCACTCATCTTTGTACATGTGTGTGCGTTTGTGTGCTCAGACTTCGGCCTCAGCAAGGAGTCGATAGACCACGAGAACAAGGCCTACTCTTTCTGCGGCACGGTGGAGTACATGGCTCCAGAGGTGGTGAACAGGCGAGGACACACGCACAGCGCCGACTGGTGGTCGTACGGCGTTCTCATGGTGAGAGTCCCAAATAATCCGATTGCAATAAATCTTATCGCACTCATTGTGTCGTATCAGCAGTCCTGCGGTCTCAGGTGAGCTGTAATGAGGTTTTCTCCTGGCAGCTCAAATTATTTGGAGCTGTTTGCAAGCTGATAACATTTTTAAATCCTGCGTGGTTCCCACGTAAACATTGTTGCACAAAAAGTCACAAATTACATTTAAATTTGCGTTAGTACAGCTCAAAAGCCCCGACATTTATGAGGAGGTAAACATCCATCCATCTGTTTTCTGCCACTTATCAGTTACAGCAGAGAAGCTCCTGCTCCCTGGCTTCTTTTCCTGGCTCTTCTCAGAGGGACACTGAGGCTTTCTGAAGCCAGCTGAGAGATTTGTTTTCTCTGGCATGTCTGGGTCTGCTTTGGGGCCTCCTCTCAGTTAGGCAAGCTTGAAAAACCTCAAAAGGAAGGCGTCCAGAAGGCATCCTTATCAGATGCACAAACCACCTCAGCTGGGTCCTTTTGACATGAAGGATGTCGGAGCTCCTCAGCCAGTCTTAACCCAGACCCCCCGCAGAGGAAGCTCGTTTCTGCTGCTTCTTTTCTTTGGGTTACCACACGCAGCTTAAGTATAAAACACAGCAACTTTAGAACCGATAAGATATTTAAGATTTACTATAGTGATATATCGGACAATAGTTCACAGCTTTAACAAGCCAACGAGCAAGTTTGATCCCAGGAGGTCAGGTGGTTGTAGTTTGTGGCAGGGAAGCTGCAGAGTGCCCCCTGGTGGACAAACTGTGCACCACAACACTCATAAGATGGCTGAAGGATGTTTCTCTCTTCTTTACGTCTGTAGTTGTCATTTATTTATTATATGCCATTATAAATGTCGATACCAGATGATGTCAGCTCGGCCGGGTAGATACGTTGATGTTTCCAGAGATATTTGTAAAGAGACGATTTTTTTCTAACTTTGGTTCTGTACTTAAACACAATGAAATTTAAATTAAACGAATCGGTTAAAGTTCAGACTTCCAGCTTTACTTCAGCGGGCTGAAGAAAAAGATTTCATTTATAATATATTAAAGAATTTATAATGCAAAGTAAATGGACGAGTTAAAGAACTGAAAACGAGATGTTCATTTCTAATACTTGGTTGAAAACCCTTTGCTGGTAATGACAGCCTGACGTGTTGGACTCATGGACATCACCAGATGCTGGGTTTCCTGGATGTGAGCAGACAGTATGCCTCTTCTGTCCTGTGTCACATCATCAATGAACACCAGTGTCGCAGTGACGCTGGCAGCCATGCAAGTCAGAGCCTTCACAGTGCAGATGATGTGGTATGCTAGTAGAAGGTACAATCTGGCTTTTGTGTTCCTGAGGTTGTGAGTGGCTTGCACCTGTAGACGGAGGAGGAGTTTCTCTTCACCATGGAAACGATTCTGCGATCATCCACCACTGCCCTCCACCATGTCTTTTTGCGCTGTCGAGTGCACCAGTGCTTTCTTTCTTTGTAGATTTTGATATTGTAGCAATTTCTCGGATGAGTTTTTTCTGCCTTCGCAGCTTAAGGATGACTTGACCACATGTTGTCTGTTCATAGCAAAATCTTCCAAATGCAAGCACCACACCTCAAATCAACTCCAGGCCTTTTATCTGCTTAATTGAAATGACATAACGAAGGAATTGCCCACACCTGCCCATGAAATAGCCTTTGAGAGAAGTGTCCAATTACTTTTGGCCCCTTTAAAAACAGGGTGGCACATGTTAAGGAGTTGAAACTCCTAAACCTTCATCCAGTTTGAATGTGGACACTCTCAAATGAAAGTTGAGTCTACACATTATACTCATGTCCACAATAAAACTAAGTTTCAATAAACAGGTAACAAAAACCTAACTGTATATGTACTGGATGCAGAAAGTGAGTTTTTTGCTGATCCTGAGGCCAAAGAGGTGAGAAAACATGGGCTGTGTTCACAGAAACAGACCATGAGACAAAGAGGGCGTGACTCTTAGATTACGAATACACACAGGCGCACATAATCAAACTGATTTTCAGTGGTTATTCTTTATTTTGAGCCGTATGCTGGATGTTTTATCAGTAAAATGTCAACAGAACTTGAGGACTATTAAGTATAAAAGTATCTTAAGCTTCCTGTTTTCTGATCTTATTGCACATTGTTATATCAGATCTGTCCTAAAAACTCATTAATTAATAAGCGCGATGGTGTCCTGTTCTCTCACAGTTTGAGATGCTGACGGGAACGCTGCCGTTTCAAGGAAAAGACCGGAAAGAGACGATGACCATGATCCTCAAGTAAGACACCTTACACTCCTGTCCGATCCCCACCCTGCAGCTTTTATTTGAGCTCCCTGTACATCCGAGACGAGACGGAGAGAGAGAGAGAGAGTACAAGGCGAGTCAGCCCAGGGGAGGATTTTTATGAGAGGAGACAGAGTGCAGCACTCAGGAGGAAGAGGAGGATGAGGACTGGATGGACTGAGATCATCTCAGAATGTGCTGATAGCTCTTCATAAAAGAGAGAAAATAATCATGTTGCAGTCGGTGAGAATTAAAGGAAATATTAACCCCTCCTTCTTCCTCTCTCGCTCTCTTTTGACTCTCGGTATCCGCCCGGGGGGAAAGCTGCTGAGCAGACTCTGCAGAGTGCTGAGTGTGCTTCCTGTGTCACATCGACATGTTTCTGTCTAGTCTTTCAGATGCCGGGTACACAACACAGAGCATTCGATATGTTTCTCTCTCCGTTTCACCCCCCCTGCTGCCTTTCTCTGTGTCCATCGCAGGGCCAAGCTGGGAATGCCGCAGTTTCTCAGCTCCGAAGCTCAGAGTCTCCTCAGGAACCTTTTCAAGCGAAACCCCGGCAACAGATTAGGTAAAACCTGCACACACGAGGCACGTTGAGAGGGTGTTCAATGGGTTTGTGGTTATGGAAGCATTTTCTTAGAATATTCTTCTAAAGTTTATTTATTAAAGCACTCAGTGAGATTAAATAATGACAAAAATGGGAGTTCTCAGTTTTGAGCTCTCTGTAATCCTGGAGATACTTCCAGCAGATTTTCAGTTACAAGTCTACCTGTTTAATCACCCCGTGTGACCCTGAGCTGGCGCCCTGTGTCACCCTCTTTGCCAGTGAATTCGCTGCCCCTCCTCGTCACACATCCAACCACCTCAGCCTCATTTCTAATCCCGTCCGTCCTCGTCACTCATAAATAAAATCTGAGCACCTCCAGCTCTGCCAGCTGTCTTTTTGTCAGTTACATCACAGCCCCGTTCTGAGCCCAGTTTGAGCTTCGGCAGGTGTCTCGACCGTGTCTGCATGCATAAATGCACCGTTTAGTTGTTGCCATGTGATTGGCTGATTAAGACGCTTAGTACTGCTTAATAATTACAATCCAGCGATTGAGCCGTGACTTTTGAGGCTCTCGACATGCCGTGCTACACGTGTCACATGCTCGGCAGGTGGGAATGTTTAATGTTTCGAGCTGCCTTCACCGCTGAGGGCACCAAACACAACCCGAGGGCCCGGAAGCCACAGGTTCATATTTGCTGCATGCAACACCTGCATCTGTGTAATTCGCACAGCGTAACATTCAGCCCTTTATGGTGTTTGTGTTTTTCTGTGGAGATTAGCTCCAAACAAAGTCTCAGCATTCTCGTGCAGCCTGTGGAAATGTGATTACAGCAGCATCGGGCTCACTGTCGGTGCGGTGTTTGTTTTAGGAGCTGGGCCGGATGGAGTGGAGGAGATCAAGAGGCATCATTTCTTCAGCACCATCGACTGGAATGTCAGTTTCTCCTTTATTGAAAAATCTGCTTTAATGATGACAGAGTCGTCTTTGGTTATGATTCTGTCTTTCAGTGTGTTTCCTTGTCCCTCATATTTCCTCTCGCTGCAGAAGCTGTACCGCAGAGAAATCCACCCTCCTTTCAAGCCAGCAGCGGGGCGACCTGACGACACTTTCTATTTTGATCCAGAGTTCACAGCTAAAACACCCAGAGGTACAGGCTGTCACTCTACCTCCTCCTCCTGCCCTTCACACTGTGCAGAGCTGAACCGCATTGCCGTATTAACAGCTGTTTCTCTGTGTGAACCAGACTCGCCGGGGGTCCCGCCGAGCGCCAACGCCCATCAGCTGTTCAGAGGGTTCAGCTTTGTGGCCATAACGGAGGAGGAGACGCAGCCACTACCCAATGCTATTGTACAGGTACAGGCAAACGCCTCAGAGGCAGAAATAATCCAGTTAACTGGGCTAACCCTCAGTGGACGGAGGCGACGAGCACAGCACGCGGGGGGCGGTCTTCACACTCCACCCTGGAAAATTTCATTCACACATTTGCTTTCCCGAGGTTTCACTCCTGCACCTCCTTCCTTTCTGGTACGTCGTAGCTTTATCACCGGCAGTAGATTAAGTCATGGATGCGTCATTTTTTAAGTGCTTTCAATGAAACAAGAACATTTTCCAAAATCTCCTGAGAAACGCATCCAGACGCCACATCTCTGCACTCTCACATCTCTTGTAATTAGTCTGTTTTTCACCTCAAAATGACAATAATCATCTAATATAAGGATTAATAATCATAGCATCAGTGTAAGGACTCACTAATGTGAGCAGGTTCCTGGGGGTGAAACTGTTTGTAATTAACGCGTAACGCACAGCATGAGCACGAGTGCCGCCGCCGCCGTGGGGCAGAAGTCTCAATCAGGCCCGAGTCGTTGGTTATGAGGACTCACATCTGTTTACATTTTTTTCATGTGCAGCAACTTCACAGAAGCACGTCCCAGTTCGCAGACGCCTACGAGATCAAAGAGGACATCGGCGTCGGCTCCTACTCCATCTGCAAGCGCTGCGTACACAAAGGAACCGGCATGGAGTACGCAGTGAAGGTGAACGCGCACAGCAGCTCAACATCTGCTTTTGTGTTTTTAAGACACGCAGGGTGACGGCAGGTTTCTGGAAAGAAGCTGATGATGTACTGAAACGTTCTGAAAGATGATTTCCATCACAGATGTGCAGATATTTATCGATTCTTCATATTTCTATGACCACGTGAACGTGGTTGAGCTTTTAGCTGTTTTAGTTTCGTTCCGTTTGCCGTCTCTGACGCTCACAGTTTACTGTGTCGGTATTGTTGACATTTAAGGAGTAAATTAGTTTGAAACAGCTTAAAATGTCCGGTAATTATACAAACGACAGTAAATTACGAGGACGTAACAGATCTGAGCTCCAAACTAAAAGTTGGCTTCAGATTTTGTTGTGCTGCTGGTTTGGAGACATTGCAGGATATTCAAATACTGTTGCTGTTGGTGATAATCTGCATATTTGTCAAAAATGTGAATAAATGAACATAATTGACACTGTTTTTCTGATTTAATGCCACGATAAGTGATGCATTATCTAAGTAGAAACCGTTGTCATCCAGTCCTGTAAAAACTAAGTACGCTCCATAATTCAGTGGCTTGTAAAAGCAGCAATAACTTGAAGCACATTTTTCTGCATGACAGAAATCATGGCTGTGGAGGAACGTAGCCCACTCTTCTCTGCAGCACTGCTTCAGTTCATTGAGCTTTGCAGACATCCGTGTATGCACAGCTGTCTGGATGCCTGGGATCATCGTACTGTTGCATGATCCAATTTGATCTTGATCAGACTAGAGTAGAAAAGCCAGCCTGACACCTGCCAAAGTTCCTGCTTTTATATTGCTGATGATCGAGCACCTGCCTGCTGCTTCCTCTCTTATTTCCTTTCCTCGGTGCGGGCGTCCTCGGTTTTTCACAGGACTCCACAATCCTGCTGAAACTTTGTGTCAGCGTGTGGGATTTAAAAGATCTTAAACTTTAAAAAACTTGCAATAAAAACACTTTATATTCAAAGCACTGTCTCTGTGGCAGATTATCAACAAGTCCAAGAGAGACCCGACGGAGGAGGTGGAGATCCTGCTGAGATACGGGCAGCACCCCAACATCATCACCCTCAAAGACGTGAGTTTTGAATTGCTCTAAATCTGCTGCTAAACTTAACCAGGCTCTTCAGTCTCATGGTTATTTTCTTATTTAACGTTATTTAACAAGTGCAGCTCCCCCATCAAGCCCAAAGGTATCCTGACATATTTATAAATATATTGTTTCATACTTAAAGAACCACGTCTACACCAACATTTGATATTAAGCATCACATCAGTTATAGGAACACAAAGCATCAGTGTTGCTGTTATCGTGACACCAACGATGATTTAAAGGTGCTCAGTGTGTCGTCCTGTGTTCAAGAATAGTTTGAAGCCGTGCGGGATTTCTTTACGCAATCAGCAGATGTGAAGAAACAACTGTAATGAATCTAGGCTGGGCTGTAAGTTCATGCAATGCCAGTTTGTACCAGAAGGTGGAGCAGTGAGTGACCTGTAAGCTGTTAGGACAAGCTGCCCCCTGCTGGTGAACATTTTGGTTAAAGTTGCACAGGTTAAGTACAAGAGTTTAACGTTAAACTCTTATTGTGAAAATCACCCTCAGCCTGTGTTAACATGGAGTGAAGCTGCCGCGTGACTCATCCAGGGTCACTTTCCCACCTCTGGGCTCGACCTGAATATCCGGCGAGCTTTTCCAAGTCGCTGTCGGACAAACAAAAATAATAATTTGCTTGCTGTGATGCTAATGATTTCATTTTTTCTGTGACTCACTGCTAATTAGAGTTAAAAATATCGTCCTGATGCTGCTGCTGCTGCTGGGTGAAAATGCCCCCGTTTGCATTTGATCCAGTAACTAATGATGGTTTCATCTAAATTGATGGTTTTCCACTTGAAACAGCAGTGAACACCTGCATGCCGGTGATTCTGCAGCAGGTGTTGGAGGCACTTATAAACGTCTAGTTCCGCATTTTTGTTTTTGCTTTTAATTTTAAGAGCTGAATAAATAAATTCACAGGCGATTTCTGTGACTAAATCGCTGCCGACTTACGTGTGGGTCGGTTTATTTTCGTGTCGTAGGTGTATGACGACGGCCGGTCGGTGTTCCTGGTGACGGAGCTGATGAAGGGAGGCGAGCTGCTGGACAAAATCCTCCGTCAGAAGTTTTTCTCTGAGCGGGAAGCCAGCGCTGTTCTCTACACCATCACCAAGACCGTGGAGTACCTGCATGTGCAAGGGGTGCGTTTCTCCAGAGGCCTTTAGGAGCAGCGGTGAAACAAAGAGATGGACACAAAATGTTCGAGCTCGTCTTTCTGTGGAGATGTGCTGCTGTTCGGCTGTGACAGATGAGAGCTGCTGTGTCAAATTAAAAAGGTTCTTTATGAGTTGGGACTTGGTCACTTTAAGTCCCATTTGATACAAAATGATGTTAAACCAGTAAATTAAAGCCCCGTTAGAGCTAAAGAGGAGGCTAAAGCAGGCCGTGACAAGCTGCTAACATACGAGCCTGCAGTGTCCACTGCACAACAGAAGAAACTGATTTAAATATGAAATAAGCCCATTTTTCCATCATGCAACAATCAAAAAGTACAAATAAAGAATGTCAGTAAAGTAATAAATGGTTACTAATCCTTTGATGTGGTAGCAAAGCTCTTTCTGTCCATGTCTTCAGTAGGTTTAGTCAAATTTGTATAATAGCTGCGATCCAGCAGACATGCGTTCGAGGTGAAGAGAGAAAAAGCTGCTGTAGTCGACCTCCGTGACTCTGTCGCCCTGCTGGGTTTGCAGGTGGTGCACAGAGACCTGAAGCCCAGTAACATCCTGTATGTGGACGAGAGCGGGAACGCCGAGTCCATCAGGATCTGCGACTTTGGCTTCGCCAAGCAGCTGAGAGCGGAGAACGGCCTGCTCATGACGCCGTGTTACACCGCCAACTTCGTCGCCCCCGAGGTACGTCGGGGTTCCTCCTTCCTTTATTTTTTCACCATTTTGCTTTATTTCCTGTCATCATCGTGCGTGCTCTGTAGGACACCACAGATTTGCCATTTTAGCATCTTTTTACTTAAACTTTCACTTTCACACAGGTTCAGAATTCCTTCCCATATTTTGTCTGATGCAGTTATTTAACACATTTAAAACAAACGTTGAACAAAAGAAAAGTCAAAAGTCTCCCATCAAAGTGCAGCTCCGTCAGGTGCCCCTCAGCTCGAGGACAGCAAACTTTCCGAGGACAGACGGGACCGGAGCACGCTGATTAATTCACAGCCTTCGGTTGTGTGAACAGACTAATGTTTTGACACTCCTGCGTCTTCCTCACAGTCAGCTGTTGTCCTCTAAAAACTGAACAAGTGTTCAAAAACGATCGACTGTTTCTGCTGACACTGTTCAACTGAAAGATCTCTAAATATTTATCAACGTATCTGCTGCTACATGCAAACTAACCTGTTTACCTGAGGAATAATCACCTGTGCACAACACCAGCCAGTCTATTGTTTCTCTTAGAGCTGTTACAGTATCAGAGTTTTGCGATTAAAGCTGAAATACTGACACTCAGTCATCAAAATACTGATGGACAATGCAAATGCTGCAAAATGCTGATTTCCTGTTGCCACCAGGTGGCGCTGTGTCTCTCAGTCAGTATTGGCACGAAGGCGCCTGGACTCTCGTCACAGGTTTGGTCAAACTTCTTCTGCTGTAGCGAAACATTGAAATTCACCGTGTCATCACGGAGGCGCCCTTTAACAAAAACTCAAATGCTTCATAATTTAGCATCAAGAAGGTCGTCAGATTAAACGAGCAGAAGAAGACGCGCTGAATCCAAAATACTCAGGTTGTTCTGTGGTTCAGGAAGTCTGGATGTCACATGACGACATGCAAGATCCACAATGTATAAAATATTTATTAGCTAGCTTCCTGCTCCATAAAATTAATGAAATCAAATAGATTCTTTTGACGGCTTCTTCCTTTTTTTTCTTACACGACTCTCCATATAAACACTTAACAGTGATTCTTTTGCTGTCTGCACCTGTTTGCACCTGTCTGCACCTGTCTGCACCTGTTTGCACCTGT